ATCATGGGGAGTTCCCGGCCATGCTTCCACGTCGACGGCCAAACCGAATATTCACGGCTCCAAGGTCATGCTCTATATTTGATGGGACCAGCTCGGCATAGTGTATTATGAGCTTTAAAACCGACTGAAACAATCACAGGCGATCGGTATCGAACGCAATTGATGCGTTTGAGCCGAGCATTGAAAGACAAACGTCCGCAATACAACGAGAGACACGATAAAGTGATTTTGTAGCATGACAATGCTCGATCACATGGGGGTAATCCCGATTGATCACGGCTCGATTGAACACCACCAATCACAGCGACCAGGTGTCTAGGAGCTTTGTAGTCTCAAACGCTGTGAGTGGCTTGTGTCCAACTGGGTGCCACCCGACCTCATGTTGCGAAAGTGGTCAAGACATACTTGGAAACGTTGAAATGGGAAGTCCTGCCCCACCCGCCGTATTCTCCAGACGTTGCTCCCTCTGACCATCACTTGTTTCGATCAATGGCACAGGGCCTGGCTGACCAGCACTTCCGGTCTTATTAAGAAGTAAAAAATTGGATCAATTCGTGGATCGCCTCAAAAGATGACCAGTTTTGTCGACGCGGGATTCGTATGCTGCCCGAAAAATGGGAGAAAGTAGTGGCCAGCAATGGACAATACTTTGAATCATAAATGTATAACCAGTTTTTTACATTAAAGCCTCGAATTTCGGAAAAAAACGGCGGAAGCAAAGTTGTACACCTAATAATTTTATTAATATAAATTCTAATTTTTAATTATAATATATTTTAATCTTTTTCACTTACCGGCTGGGTTTTGAGAACCTGGGACTTCAGGGTTATGAGTCATGTACTTTATCCATTATGCCACTTATAACTATCGATACACACAGTTCTTATTGTCCTTATATATGGTACACTTAACGCAATTATATTGTGTTGTTAACTTCCGTGATTATTTTATTATTCCGACATATTTTTTATTAATTTGAGTTTTAAAAAGTAATGACATTTTTTACATATTTATAATAAACGTCAGTCTATTATTCTTCTTATATTCGACTGTGATTGGTTAATTTTCTACGACTTAAAACTCTACGACTGCTACGATTTCTATTGTAGAGCATAACACTTCTACAGTTGATCTATACAACACTTATTAACATCTACGGAAGCTCTATAAAACAGCTACATTTAATCCATATAATGTCTTTTAAACATCTATTAGAGCTCTATAAAACATCTACTTTTGAATTATATAACGCTTATTAAAAGTAACTCGTTACAGTTACCGTTACTTGAGAAAGTAACTTTTCGTTACTTTTCCGTTACTTTTTTTTAAATCGACGACCAACAATTACGGGTCTAGAGGCTTCTCTAGTCTCAAGCGCATTGTAAAAAATTGTGTAAAATTACAACTATTATGCTGGATAATTTTGAGATCCACTACAATAGTTGTAAACGTCCACAAGTTCGTAAATTTGCAATATGCAAATATTTGGTGTTAAACTTAATTCCTGCCGTTTTTCGTCTCCAAAATTGATTTGTTTCGAAGGGAAATACCTTAATCAAAGTTTTATTAATAAAGTATTATTAATTAGTAATAAAGTAGAAAATGGAGGAAATTACTTTGATTAAGGTATTCATTCATCTTTCCTTCGAAACAAATCAATTTTGGAGACGAAAAACGGCAGGAATTAAGTTTAACACCTAATAAAAATAATTTCTTGTGGTTTGGAACTAAGCAGATTGTGAAAGTACAATTGCAATGTGTATGTGTACTACAGGAACGATAATATGACAATACATTTCGCATTATATATTATTATACATTTAACAACAATACGTGAACAATTTCTTTCATATTACGTAATATTACTAAAATTTGGATAATTACAGAAAATATTCAAAATATCCTGCTATTTACATAATTTCCAATATAAAATAAGATATATTTACACAATAAAAACAAATTTACATAATTTTTGTGGAATTACATAATTTCTGTAAAATTGCATGATTTTTTATATTTACAGAACTAATCATGTAATCTATTTTACATTTATTATATGTGTAAATTTATGAAATTTTTTTACAGTGTAAGTGGCTTGTATCGTATGGTGTCCAATCATGTGCAAAGTAACAATAAAAGTAACTGTAAAATTCGTTACCGTTACCAAAAAATGTAACTTTGTTACCATAAAGCGGGGTCTACAATAAAAGTCGTAGCAGTCGTAGAGTCTTAAGTCATAGAAAATTAACCAATCACAGTAAAATATGAGAAGAATAATCGACTATGATTGGTCAATTTTCTACGACTTAAGACCCTACGACCGCTACGACTTCTATTGTAGACCCCGCATTACAGTTATCAAAGAAAAAAAATAACGCAGTTACTAGTAAAGTTACCAAAAAAATAACTTGTAATTGTAATTTCGTTACAAG